GATGTAATACTGCACAGTATACCTTAGCATTCAACCCAGTATATGATGAAATACTGCGCAGTATACCCTAGCATACAGCCCATTATATGATGTAATACTGCACAGAATACCCTAGCATCCAGCTCAGTAGATGAAATACTGTGCAGTATACCCTAGCATCCAGCCCAGTATATGATTAAATACTGCACAGTATACCCTAGCATCCAGACCAGTATATGATGTAATACTGCATAGTATACCCTTGCATACAACCCAGTATATGATGAAATACTGCACAGTATACCTTAGCATCCAGCCCGTATATGATGAAATACTGCATAGTATATCCGAGTATCCAGCCCAGTATATGGTGAAATACTGTACAGTATACCCTAGCATCCAGCCCAGTATATGGTGAAATACTGTACAGTATACCCTAGCATCAAGCCCAGTATATGGTGAAATACTGTACAGTATACCCTAGAATCCAGCCCAATATATGGTGAAATACTGTACAGTATACGCTAGCATCCAGCCCAGTATATGATGAAATACTGCACAGTATACCAAAGCATCCAGCCCAGTATATGATGAAGAACTGCACAGTATACCCATCCAGCAGTATATGATGAAATACTGCACAGTAGTCTAGTATCCAGTCCAGTATACCATTAGACACTGCACAGTATACCCTAGCATTCAGTCCAGTATATAAGGAAATGCTATACAATATACCATCCAGCACCGTATATTATCTAATACTGATGTATAGCAACCAGGACTGGAATACTATGCAGTATATACCGAAATACAGGAATACTGCACAGTGTATCCAATAACCCACCTAAGGGGTACTGTTCGGTAGTTATCAAAATACAGTATAATGTGAAATATTCCATAATATATCCTACAGTTTTGGTTGGAAAATGATCGAATATTGCACAATAAAGCCAATAGTCTAAAACACTGGGGTTGACTTATTAAGACTGTTCACTTAGAGAATGGTATGTTTAATTTGCAAAGTACATGTTGCTAATTAATGTTACCTTTTGTTTTCTTTGAATACCCAATCAGGGAGGGAAATTAAAACAAACTTTCTTTTTTTTTGCTAACACTTGGTTGGTTGCTTGAATAAAACCACAGCTTCAACTAACTTACTAAGCTCAATGAACATTCAATTTGCTAAGTGAATGCTGTCTACGCCTTCGGTAAACCAACCGTAGTATGTTCAGTATATCAAAGAATACAACACAATAAACTCCTAGAACCAGCTCTACATGTAATATAATGATGCACAGTAGGGTTGATTTACAAAAGGAAAAGAGAGTTTTCAGTTTGCAAAGTGGATTTTCATTAAGTTTATTTCATAAGATAAAGCTGTGTTCACTTCAATAAACTAATCATGTAATAGAAGAAGAAAAAACAGTTTTTTTTTCTGTTTCTTTATTTCCCTCACACATGTGATTGTATATTCAATGTGAACGCAAACTCGCCTTTGCAAATTTAAAATACACTTTTCTGAATAAGCTGGCATCTCCTCTTCTTTATAAATCAACTCCAATAGATTGTGTACACTTTATCTGGCACAGTATATAATGAAATAGGGCACACTATTTCCCAACACCAACACAGTACACCTTATACTTCTGCACAATATGTCTTGCACAATATATCATAGAACACAGCACAATGCATTGGATTTACTCAGTGAGTCTGGTCACATTGCAAAATGAATCTTCCTTTTCATGATGGGAAAAGATGGAGCTATGCTCTTTTCAATCATCAAATAATGTGCAAGTAAAAATTAACTTTCTTTATTTTCCTTTCGGACATGATGTAGTATTTACAGAAGGCACAGCTTCAATTTACCAAGCTAAGTGAACATTCACTTTGCAAAGTGAACATTTACTTTGCTAAGTGAGCTGTCTCCACTCATTTCCATAAATCAAACCATTATGTAACTGAATGTTGTCCTGTATACCTTAGAGTGCAGTATATCCTGTAATATTGCACATTATATCCAAGAATCCAGCACCTATACTAAACAGAATTTCCTGGACTCCAACACAGAACAGTCTGGATTTTTCCACAGTATATCATATATCCCAGTACAATTATTTCTGGAATATACTGAGAATAAATCAGTAATATTTATATATCTCAGATATCAAGACTTTTATATAATTAAGTGGTGAATGATCCTAAAAGCCAGTATAGTATATTCTCAAATAATACACTGTATATTCCAACATCCAGCACAATATAAAATTGAATATTGTACAGTATAGCATGTGATGGGAGCCATCACAGCACATTCCGGAATTTGAACAGAATATACTGGAGTACTGTCGTGTTTACCTTAGTGTCCAGCATAGTAACTTATTGTAGCATCCAGCATAGTCATATAAAGCAGCATCCAGCACTATGTAGTTTGGAATTCTCCACCGTATAGCCTACTATCAAGCATAGTATATTGTGGCACATTGCATAGTTTAATATACTATTCATCACAATGTTGTTGAATACTCCAGAGTACATCCTCACATCAAAGTGTATTGTAAAAGCCGCACATTGCATTGTAGAATCCAGCACTATATCCTGAAAAAGAGTTCAGTAGATCCCTGAATCCTTGTGGGCTATGAGGGGGTATTTTAGAATCTACAGTATCCGGGAATCAGGAACAGTATTGATAGGAAAACAACTAGACTATTGTATATCTTACATAGGAATCCCATTCATACATCCTTCTGTTTGGATCTCTGTTTTTAGTACAAATTAGCGTTTTATATTCTGACATTCTGTCCTATTATTCCTGCATATCCTAGTATCTGTCATTATGTTACATCCTAGGATCTACAGTATATCATAATATGGAACCATGCATTCTACAATGTAACATTTTCCAGATTCTAAAACAGAATCTTGCTGTATGCTGTATAACTTCTTGTAAGAGAATTCAGCATTCAGATCTATATATTCTGGCAGGGTTTATCAGAAATTATAGAGCAATATTGTCCTGTCTTTCCCAAGAACCCCTGGTAAAGGAGCCTGAAGGAGAGACGATCTGGACCAACTAGGAGCTGTGGGCTATTACAGCCAATCAGATGTCATACTCAATGTTCACAGTCTATAAATTATGAAATATAAGTTATTGGGGGGGGGGGGGGGCAGTACCAATTCCCACAAATCAGCCTGAATGTAGAATTTAGAAACGAATATTATGGAGCTATTTAACTAAATGTGTCATTTTCACTTGGTGTTCAAGAAATGACACCACTAGTAAACAGTGTTGACAGAGTGGAGAATCTTACATTTTTTACATATGGAATGCTCAAAGCTGGGGTCATAAATTAAACCACATCCACTTTGTGTTCACAATAGTAATAATACATAATCACATGAAAGTAGTGAGAATGTTCCATGGACTTCTCTGGGTGAGTGTAGTATTCTCCTAAGTATTCCTTTTAACCCAGAGTACAATAGAAAGGCCTCCCTGGAAAATGCATCTTTTAGATCCATCCTCCATTGAAGGATTAACATGCTGTGCTGGTAAAGCACGTTAATCCAGAGGAAGAGGTGTGCTGTTTAAAGTGGCTCTCCAAACCCTTGATGCTGCAAACCCAAGCCTGTTTGTCTAGACACTAATTAAGCCCCCGTTTGTCTGGCATCTCTACCTTGACCTTGGCCTTCCACGCATTTTTTGAGGCCGAACAGTAAAAAATGTGGAATGCCTGGACAAAGCCTGACAGCCGGGCGCTTTCTGGGGCTTCTCAGCATTTCAAATAGCTGTCAGTCCCCAGGACCTTGTTTGTAGGTCAGTGGACAATGAAGAAGTTTACTGTCGTTCCTGAGCGATGTGATTTACCGTCACAATCTGGAAGAAAAGGACCGTGCTTTTTTTCTGGCTACAAACACAGAGATGCTCAATGGAAGTTCTTGTGAGGGGGGCAGTTTGTTGGGCATTTTACATGACAAATGTCATCAAATGCCCCCCCAACCCCCAGAATTCATAACACATTTTCCTGGCAGAGGTATAAAAGCACATGTGTGAGCTAATTCATTCTTCAGATCAAATCTTATAAGCTAAATAAAACACAGTATATATAAAATATCATAACCATGTGGATCCCCGAATAAAGATCAGCTAAACAGTTATGTGCAGCGTTTAGCCCCACAAATGATTTCCAGGATGAATCCATGCAACCTTGTGCACTGCACCTATAGATGCAAATGTGGAGCAGCACATTTGGATTATTGTCTAGTGCTATGTACAGATTTCCCATTCATTGTAGGAGCTCAGTCTTCTGGATCCATCATATTGTCCTTTGCTATCACAGGCACTGGATAATTTTGCACTTTTTCAGGGCTATATATATTGCCTTTTATTAAACGCAAATCAAAAGCATTCTTTCGTCCTTAAAATCTCTCCTGAGCTCGTTTTAAACACAACAAAGGACGTATACAAATAACACAGGAACCTTAGCAAATGCTGCATCGTAATTCATAATATCTCATTTATTTTTCACTTATAATTTGATATCAGAAATTATTTTCCATCTTTCTTTCTTTCTTCCACTTTTGCAGTTACATAATAAAGTTGCACAGTTCTTTCCTGCTGCATGGAGAATATTGTTTTTCTCTTCTGCACTGCATCTTTGATAGGACTTTGGCATAGATATAATATTTTCCCATCGACCATTTGCTGTCGATCACTTCCGAGCCAGCCAGAAAAAAAAATGTCAACTGTTGTCTTTTTTTTTTTTCTTGGTGGCCATCAGTGGGTGTCACCCTTTTCCTTGAAGGGTCTTCTCCTGTCGCTCTCTCTCTTTCTCTCTCCAGCGTGGAGCCAGGCTAGGGCTGGTGGGAGGGGTCACGTGTCTCATCCCCGGCTCATTGTTGTCTATTAGTCCGTGGTCACGTGCGACACAGGCAGATTTCTTAATGAAGCCGAGCGCAGTAGACCTGCCCCGGCCCCGGCAGCGCGCATGCGCGGCCCCGTAGACAATAATGTGGAAGGGAATTAGGTGACTCGCTTTTGGGAAGCTGACTTTTTAAAAGCACGGCCAGACCATGCTATGACGACTTCCCTGATCCTGCATCCTCACTGGGCGGACACCTTGATGTACGTGTATGAAACGAGCCCGAATGAAAAGAATCTCAAGAAAAGCCCAGACATGGAGGGACTGAGTGGGAACTGTTCGAGCACTCACTGCAGGGATTTTATCTCTCACCCAGCACTGGGGCGCCATTCCAGCACCATCGGAACCCATCAAGGACCTGTGTATACGGATATTACCTCTCCGGAGGCTGGCAGGCAATGCTCGGGGGCCACGTCTTCTTCCAATGCCTCTCTAGGCTATGCCTACCCCTTTGGAAGCAGCTACTACGGCTGCAGGTTGTCTCAGTCTCACAACGTCAATTTGCACCAGAAGCCCTGCTCTTACCACCCCAACGAGAAATACCCCGAGCCCAGCAACTCCATACCCAGCGAAGACTTCTCCTCCAGGGCCAAAGAGTTTGCCTTTTACCCCAGCTTTGCCAGCTCGTACCAGGCGGTCCCTGGCTACTTGGACATGTCAGTAGTCCCCGGGATCACTAGCCATCCAGAGCCCAGGCATGACACTCTCCTATCTATGGAGGGCTACCAGCACTGGGCACTGCCAAACGGCTGGGATGGCCAAGTCTACTGCTCCAAGGATCAAAGCCAGTCCAGCCATTTGTGGAAAGCACCTTTCCCAGGTAATGCCCCCTCCATTGCCCCATCTGCCCCCGATCCTCTTCTCTATTTCAGGTATTAATGGTCTCTTTGTCTGCCAATCTTGCGGTGACAACCAGCTTTTCTGATCTCCCCCAGTATGTAGCAGCAGTCGTGTTTCTGGGTGTTGGGATTTCCCAGACTACAATAAAATATGTCGGTGGCCACTGACACATTAGTCTTGTTACCCCCGGATTCATGGGCACATATTGCGCTTTTCCTCCCGACTGGGAAACATTTAGCAGCAGGCAGCGAGTTGGTGTTATTCATTTGTAGGAGATTACACCGTGTGATTAACAATGTGTCCATTCTGTTTAGATGAAATAATGCGGATCGGAATGGAGAAAAACACTCAGCCAGAGCCGATCACTTTCCCATGAATTATTCATTCATCCTGGCTATAAGGCGACTCGCCTGCAGCGCTCCAGCCATCAGACCCTATAGAGCCCCTATTGAGCCTACACAATGTGCTGCAATTCTCCCACCATAAAGCGTGCTCTGCTAACCAGGAAGTGTACAGAGCACACATATAGCAGCCGTGCCATGTACAATGAGGCACCTACTGGTCATAGGCAATTAGCACCCAAGTGCTGGAAACGGCTGGAGGTGCCCATCGTATGGGGGTGTCATGTGTGGGCATATGGGAGAGTGGAGGGCATACACGAGGGGACCTTGCAGAACAATGTGATATCTAAAAAATATACTTCATATGTCTGTGAGTGCTAATTTATTTATCTAGAAGTATGACACAGAACAAGTGAGCTCAATGATTCCTGTGTCAAGATGTGTGTGTGTGTGTGATTTATATATAT